TTTTAAGTGAATCGACCCTCTTAAAAAATAGGTTCAGTCTTTAAAATTATATTTAAAAATATATATCTAGTTCATTCTTTTTACAATTGGTTCTAATTTTTTTTAAAATGGTTCAGTCTGGTTTTAAATCCAGTTCGGTTCTTTTGGTTTTTTTTGAACATCTCTAAGTAATGGAACTAACTTTCATATAGATCTTTACAATGAATCCAATCTAAGAGAAACTAGCTGCTCATGGTGAGGGCCATAGAAAATACAAGGATAAAATTACACAATAGAAGAAGAAATGAAGACCCTCATTCCTAAGCAATCCAATCTTCAAATCTAATCTTCACGCTTTCTTTCTTTGGGAGTTTCTTTCTCTCTATCCATGTCTCCATTTTATCTCTCTTTAATCCTTTATATATGTTCTGTCCAAAACAAGGGAAATTTGGGATTTTTAACCCAAGGTTGCAACTCTAGATCTGTGGCTAGGACTCCAAAAATTACATCAGGACGAAGAAAACTCCAGAGCTGTAGCTTTGAAATGGGGGCCGTAGCTTTGGATGTCTAGATTTTCCATAATGCTCTAGTTTCCAAGGTTGGAGCTTTGGCTTCATGGCTAAAGCTTCAACTTTTTGGAATACTTCTTTTTGGCTCAGGTTTTATGGTTCTAGCCCAACTTCATCAAAATCTACACAAAGAGAGATATTTTCAGTCAAAGAAAACTACGCTCTGCAACTTCTTAGCTTAATCTCAATTTATCTATTTAGGGGGTCAAATACAACCAAAATTAATTACATCTCTTCCAAAAAGAGTGCTAAATTAAAAATAAAAACATGTAATTTAGGAACTTATCAAAAGTTTTGTCTTAGCCAATAATAGGGTCGTCTTAATGCAACTTGCATCTTATACAAAGATTCGTCTTACTGAGAAGTTGTGTCTTAATAGAGGATTTGTCTTAGTCATTGTGAAAACTTATTCTATTGGTCAAAAGCCTATAAGATCTAGCGTGAGTTGAACCTGTGACCTATACCTTATAGTCTTTATGTATAACTGCACAAACCATTGAGCCATTCCATTTTATATGTCTGTTGTTTTGTTATCTAATTATAATAAGATATTATAAATATTTATAATATAATTGGATATTATA